CTTTCTAGAAATGATGCAAAATGAGAAAAGTCTGCAGGAGTTACAGTTTTTAGGGGAACAATAAGTGACCTGTCAAGGAAAGCAAAGATTCACCTAAAGTTGGAGAGAAAGAATGGAAATAAATTAAAAATAAAAATAAAACCTCACCTTGTTTGACACACTTGAGCCGAACTGGGTCTTTACTGTGTTTGACCACAGCGTGGACATCCCTGGTGGTCAATCCAGCCACGGGAGTGTCGTTGACTTCCAGCAGCAGGTCCTCCGGGAGGAGTTTACCGCTGTGGCAGACGGATCTGCCCGGGAGGAGCGCGCCGATGACCGGGAACTGTCCGCGCTCCGCGCCGCCCTGCAGCTCCAGCCCCAGCGCCCCCTCCTCATTCCTGCAAAGGAAACTCTCATGGACTCTGTTGGTCCAGTGGTTCTTCCTCTTCTTCAGGCTCTTAGACATGGTGAGTTTACATGAGTGCAGCCGTGCAAGAAAACAACAACAAGCAAAAGTTTTCCAGTGGCCGTTTAGCGTCCCCGCGGTGCCACGGTCCACGCAGGAATGCGCCGCGCTTCAGTGGAAAGGCGCAGTTGTTTCCATGTCAGCGCGCAGCAGCTGGATCATCAGGCTGGAGCTGCTCAACTTCAGAGGCGTTCACTGTCATCCGGAAATCTTAATGATCATAAGAACACGACGCGCTGTCCAATTATCTTAGAGATAAACAAGATAGTTGCGAAGTGGTGACATTTTTCCAGGCTTCCATGAACTGATGTTACTAAAAATTATTTATTTTACATTTAATAGATAATCTACTGTAAATTATTATAAATATGCATCCAAAAATATCCGTTAATGTTGAATAGCTTTGAGTTTATTTATATTTTAATCATCGTCTGCTATAATTTGAGCATAAAGTTTAGAGTTAAGAACTTTTAATTTATTAATGATGTTAAAATGACTAAATACCAACTTTAAAATAACAAAAGTACAAGGTTACGTTGGCACTTGAATGCAGCATCAAACTCCAACCAACGCAACTAACCCGGATGTCGAGGCTTGGGTAGGAGGAGAGAAGAAAGGGTTTTCCCAAATCCAGATTTCCATTGGGAAAAAAAAAGAAAAAAGAAAACAAGCAAGTGGGAAGTTAGTCCATAATAGATCAGCTTAAATATGCATTTTCCACACAAACAAATTCCCTTTTTTCCCCAGATATATATTTAGTCAATTGGGTATTTCAGACATCCCAAGTTATAAAAACTCATTTTAGGAAAATGATGCTTACCCCCCACCCAAAAAAATAAAAATAAAAATCCCCCAAAGCCTCCCAAATCCCAAATTCCAATGATGATCTGCGCTGGAACAGACATGGATACTGATAGGTCTTTTGGATGTATTTTATTCTTTTTCTTTACAAATTCTATTTTGCTAATTATTCAAAAACAAATAAAAAAAGGTTTTAATTTTTACAGATGAATTTAACAGTTTTTCTTGAGTTCTAATTCAAATTTTATAGAAAACAGTAGTTTTAACTCAAATTAACTCAAAAATATGTAAAATTCCTAAAAATATAAATGTATATTGACCTCATAATATAATTTTTATTTAACCTAATTGAAAAGAAATTTCACTTCATGCAGCTCTCTTAATATATTTGAATCCCTTGCCCTGATTATTTCATGCTTTTCTGGGCCCCCATGAAAACACGCTGGCCCCCTCCTGGTCTAGATCCGCCACTGTTCCTCCCCTTCACTAGACGTGGATATACTTTAGTATATTCTGCTGTAAAATTACTCCTATATTTTAGTTTTTTCAACCTCTGCCGTTTCACAGGATGCACAGCTTTGAGTGGTGCCTGCCAGAGAGGAACCCCAAACTTATTGGGCTGATCCAATCAGCTTTCCAATCACTTTGGACAGATACGCTGCACAGGTTTCATAAGCAACCTCCTCCCCACACCCTGCGCTCTCTTATTGTGTTTGCGCAATCGAAGTAGTTCTAATCCGCACATGATGCACAAGTTATTATATTGCCTGCCCGCTCTCACTCGTATTGTTTGTGCGACAGTAGCAATGGGACCCCTATTTCATCATTCTATCTCTATTCTCCCACTGCAGAATCTGTTAGTTCAATCTCTAACGTTCTGCTCTCTCTGCTTTTTCTCATAGTAGCTTCATCTGGTCTGTTCCTGTTTGGCTGTGA